CACAGAGCCCGATGCGGGGCTTGAACTCACGAACTGTGAGATCATGACCTGAGCCGAAGTCGGACGCTTAACCGACTGAGCCACCCAGGTACCCCCCTGCAACTGTTTTAAATTAAGGAGACGGGGGCGCCTGGGTGGCGCAGTCGGTTAAGCATCCGACTTCAGCCACGTCACGATCTCGCGGTCCGTGAGTTCGAGCCCCGCGTCAGGCTCTGGGCTGATGGCTAGGAGCCTGGAGCCTGTTTCCGATTCTGTGTCTCCCTCTCTCTCTGCCCCTCCCCTGTTCATGCTCTGTCTCTCTCTGTCCCAAAAATAAATAAAAAAACGTTGAAAAAAAAATTATAAATTAAGGAGACGAAGAGAGGAAAGAGGGAAAGAGAAAACAGAATAAAGAGGAGACTGGAAACAAGCAAGCAGAGGCCTACCAAGCTACGATAGTGTACTGCCAGAAAGACTAAGTCAGTAACACAACAGAGACTACTCAAAGCTTTGAAAAGCGGTGTATTAGAGTTTAAATGTCCTGTGTCAAGTCTAGTCCTAACATCTGCTTAGATGAGAATCAAAAACCAAAATACATGAAATTATACACTAACCATCAGTTAATCATGGTATATTCTTAAAAAGGAAAACCATGCCGAGGTTAAAAAGAATAAAACACATCTATGTGAAATATGGAAAGATGGCTAAGAGACTAATAAGTGAAAAGAGCACATGATAGTATGAACAGTATATACAGAAATACCTGTGAGTGCTGTATAGCTTTCATACCCATCAATTATCTGGAGAGTTACAAAGAGGTAACAGTGGTTGTCTAGGGGGTGGAAGGGACTGGAGCTGGAGGCCAGAACTCTGAATTACTCTACCATAATACATACCTTTTGAAATGTTTTGTTTTTCATATATATATATATATATTCATATATATATATTACTTTTATAAAATTCTAGGGTATGGGATGCCTGGGTGGCTCAGTCGGTTAAGCATCTGACTTTGGCTTAGGCCATGATCTCTCCATTCATGAGTTCGAGCCCCACGTCAGGTACTCTGCTGTCAGCACAGAGTCCACTTCAGATCCTCTGTCCCCTTCTCTCTGCCCCTCCCTTGCTTGTGCATACACGAGTCCCTCTCTCTCTCTCAAAAATAAATATACTTTTTAATTAAAATAAAATTCTAGGACGATAAAGAACCCTACAATGATTTACAATTTACGTTCTCAGGGCACCTGGGTAGCTCAGCCCATTAAGCGACTGACTTGATTTCAGCTCAGATCATGATCTCACAGTCGTGAAATGGAGCCCCACATCAGGCTCCACGCTGGACTGTGAAGCCTGTTTAAGATTCTCTCTCTCTCTCTCTCTCTCTCTCTCTCTCTCTCTCCCCCTCTCCCTCTCCCTCTCTCTCCCCCTCTCCCCTTGCCCCTCCCACACGTGCATACTCTCTCTTCCCTCCAGCCCCCCAAAAACTAAAAACTACAATTTACATTCTCAACAGTGCTATAACCATAGGATTACAAAGAGCCTTAAGAGAGAGCTAGTCACTCTGTCCCAGGCAGGCCTGTACCTACACAATTCCAGACAGTTTTCTTCTTTGTTAAAGATATGAAATTATTGGGGCACCTGGGTGGCTCAGTTGGTTAGGCATCTGACTCCTGATTTCAGCTCAGGTCATGATCTTCGTGTTTGTGAGATTGAGCCCCAAGATGGACCCACGCTAACAGCCTGCTTGGGATTCTCTTTCTCCCTCTCTGCCGCTTCTCCCACTCACACATGCATGTGCACTCTCTCTCAAAATAAACAAACTTTAAAAA